TCGGAGAGCATGGAGCCGAGGAAGCGTGGGCTTATTTGACACTTATTTAAGATTTGGCCTTTCCAGGAAGCTGTTGCTGATTCGAAGCTGAGCAGCGTGAGTAGTTTATTTGGGTGTAGGTAGAGGAACAGCAGGAGGCCTACCAGCTTGAAGAGACCCTTTTTGGAATTGTAACCACTCTCATTTTTTTACTATTTTCGATGAAACCTCAGCAGTTTGGCAAAAAAAAAATTAAAAAGAAACCCAGTGGCCCCGTTATCGAAGGCTTTGCCCTGAATGTTGTTTTTTCTGTGAAAGGCCGGTGTGGTTGGTGTTTGTTTGGGTGTTAAAGAGCTGGCTTAGGAAAATATTTCGGTTCCAAATGCCTCTTGATTTTAAATACCTTAAAATACCCTAATTTTTGAATACCTTAAACTGACAAAGGTGCCAAAACCACCCCGGCTCACCCGTGTTTCTTGAAGAAATCCTCACTGCCAAATCACTCATGAAGGCAACTTCTTGGGGATCTTGGCCCTGTGCTGCTGAGCGCTGGGCAGAAAAACCTCCGGGGCTCAGCACTGGGGGCTGAGGCACCCAGAAATGCAGGGAACGGCACAAAATGTCCCTTTTGGGTTGTCCAGAAAGCTGCCAGGTTGCTTCTTTGCCCTGTCTGCCACCCAAACGGGCACGTCCAAGGCCATGTGGAGGGCACAGCCATGTGGGCATCTCCCTCCCAGCCCTGCAGACCCCTGCTTCTCTCTGCAGCACCCACCCCGCTGCAAAGATGGGTTTGGAGCAGAGGGGAAATGAGGGATGATGCTGAGGTTTTTACCAATGCCTTTTTGTCTTGAGGCAGCTTTGCTCCTACCTGGCAATCTCCTAATTTTTGGGGTGCATCTCGTCCCCATGGGGTGGTGGCTGCGATCTAAACACTAGAGGGGGTGTCAGGGTCGAGCTAGAACGTTTCTCGCTCTGCTTTCACCCCGCGTGATCCGTCTAGATTGCTTTCATTTCATTCTTACGCGCTACCAGTGTGTCGAGTGCTCCCTGGTCTCCGCTGCCTTTTTTGGAGTCATTCTGAAACCCAGCAGCTCAGCGGTTTTTCGGGTTGCTCCGCCACCGCTGCCCGTAGAGCTCTCATTCGTGCCGTCCTCACTGACCTTCACACACTTCACCGCTGCTCTTTTAATCCTTGAAACTCTTATTCACCTTCCTTTTCTTTTCCAGTGGTGCCGCTGGAGAGTTTCCACTTGTTTCCCCAGGAGTGGGTGAAGTGGGGTGACTTAACAAAATAGTTTAAAGGATTAAAACACTGAGTTGATGGGAGCAGGATTGGCTCCCCCAGTGCTGAGGTCTCTGTGGGGTTAATGCTCCTCTCCATAGCGTGGGAGGTTTCTTTATAGCAGCCGAATGGGCAGTGGTGTGGGGTGAGGTTTGGGGAGGGTCTGGCCCTCATGTCCTGAGCCTGTCACAAAAATGCTGTCAAGTTTTGGGGGGATCTTGGAAACGCTGGTGTCCATTCAGAGCGTTACCTCCAAGCGCTTTGCGTTGCCGGCTGTTGCGGTGATCGGCCTGGTGCCTTTTTGAACTCTGATTAATGGGATGAGCAACAAGGATTTCTTTCTCCTTATGAAACAATCTCTTATTTTCTTTGGCTTTCCACATCCAAGTACCAGGGATTCCTAGAATTTGCTCCTTCCTGGCCCTTTGGGAGCTGCCTGAACTTCTTTTGCGCAAGTCTGCCGGGACGGGGAGCAATCCTGTGGATTTGTTCCCTTCCCTTTCTCCTGGAGGGTTTATCCCAAAGCTGCTCCCGCAGACGCAGACGCAGCCCAGGTTGTGTGTGGGGTACGTACGGCTGCTCCAGCCCGATGCACGGCTCACCCCGTGTGCAGGAGGCCCATCATCAGCACTCTGTGTTTGGAAATTAACTTGCAGGCTTCATGACCGATTTAATTTCCTTTCCTTTTCCTCTCTGTGCTGGAGGAGCGTTTGTGTCGGGCGCTGTGAATGGCCCGCAGTGTCTCAAACCCCTGTCGGCATTCTTGTGTGGTGGACGTGGCCCACGCCTTTCAGCTGAACAAGGCACACTCAGACTCCCCTTGTGAGCTGGAAACACGAGGACTTTCCGTAGCCCATCAAAGCTGCGGCCTGGCGCAGCCATGGGTATGGGAAGAGTTTTCCTGCCTCACGTTTTTGGTGAGAAAACAGCGTTTCAGAAGACAACCATTTCCAAAAGTTGCCCTGAAGGTGGCTGCCTCCTCTTGAAACACATCAGAGATTTTGGCAGAGGTGGAGCACCACAATCCGTAGCGCTTGGGGTCTTTGGTTTAAATTGGGTCTTTGCTGGTTGTGCTCTGCTCCCTGCTGGGGTCACCAGGGATGGTCGTGGCGATGCTCCCAGCACTGGTGTGCGACACAGAGCAAAGGCCACTTGGCAACACACAAAACACTCCTAAAAAAAGCACCAGAAAGGACTCGCTGCTGCTGTTAAAGCTCCCGTTCCCGTTGCTCAGGTTGTGCAGTAGCACGCGAGTGAGCTTTGAAGTCCGTTTTTCCCAGGCGCTGTTTCGTGTGGCTCACACCCCTCCCGAAGGCCCCTTGTGTGGTCAGGAAGCGTTATCTGATGTCCCTGCTGTCAGGCCAAAGCCAGCAGCCAGTGTGCTTTAATTTTCGGCTTGGCTCAGGATGCGGGGGCCGCGCCGCTGCCACCTTCGTCTTCCTGCGCTCCCTGCATCTTCCTTTCCGTTCGGTGAGCTCCTTTCCAGTTCAATTGATGTTATTTCGGTGTGTGACTGCGTGACAGCCCTCTGGCTCGCTGCACCCCTGCCCTGGCTTAAAATTCACCCTCGAGGGCCTGCCCGGGCGCGGGAGCATCTGAGGGGACCGGGGAGGTCGCGCTCCGGGGCTGCATTTTGCGTTCTTGTTTAGTTTGAAATGGCTGGGGTTTGCCAGATTGAGCAGAAAATAAGGGAGGGGGGAAATCAGTCCTCTTCCTCCTTATCGAAGGGGCTGTGGAAAAGGGAAGTGTGTTTAATCCGTGGAGCTTGGGAGGCCTGCTTTGCCCTCGCCTTATCAGCTTGGAAACATTTGGAGCAGAAGATGCCGTAAAACCTGATGAAGCTGGAGGCGCTACCGCGTTCCTGCCTTGGTAAAACTGTGACCAGTTTTGAGAGAAGCAAATATTGCTCTTTTTTGGTGTAAAACGGGGATTTTTGTTGCAGGGGGCAGCTCCTGTGGGCACGGGGAGAGCAGTGAGCAGGAAGGGTGGGAGAAGCTCCAACACTGGCGTTTGGGGAATTGCTGTGGGGTGAGCCCAGAGGCCACGGCTGTCCCCAAGCTTCTCTGCCCTCACACCGCACCTACGTTTTGCTCCATTAATGAGGGGGAAATGAAGAAACTTAATTTACAGGCACTAATTTTGAATTCTTAGACCGG